CTCCCCTCCCCCCTGGTGCCGTGGTGGCGACACCACCGATCACTCTCGACGGCGGCCTGGCTGATGTTTTGCAGTCGCGGGCCACGCCACCCGCCCCGCCAGGACACCACTGCGAATAATGAACTGCCCTTGTTGTGGTGACAACAACAACAACGGACTGGAGCTCGCCGCACCGGGGCTCTGAGCTCGCGCATGATGAAATTTGCTGACATGTGAGGTGACGGGCCTGGCCTAAATAGTCAGTCGCCTGACCGGGCCGGGCGGCCTGCTGCGGGCGCAACCCGCGGGGCGGGCAACCGGGGCAACCCCACAGAGGGCGACCAGCAGCGACAGCAACAACCCCCTCCTCGGGCTCTGTCCGCCGGCGGGGGCCACCGCCACCCGCCACCAGTCCCTCAACATCGCTAGCGGTCGCGAGGCGATCTCGCGGCACAGTCACGTTGTATCGCCGTTGATTGCCTTTCGCGTTTTGGAGCGCGTGAATGGGAGGAGAGGGGAGGCCTTCCTAACGACTGCAGAGGGGGCGTGTGATAAGCACTGTTCCGCCCCGCTCACATCTCCCGAGTATTTTTGATGAGGCTCTTAATTCGCTACACATGCCAGATCTCGATTTTACATCGTCATACTCTCTTGACCTGCTGTTAATTTGCGACCAACTCTCGTACACTTCGTCTACCTCGTCATCCACCATCCTCCTCTGCGGATGTCGTTGAGTTTGCGCGGCTTTGTATCCCGGAGGGGCGATTAGTTTCGCTAATGTCCAAAAACGAGGAGGCGAAAAAACATGTGAAAAAAATAACAAACTTCAAAATTGTTGAGCTGGGCGGAGCCGGCCCGGGCGCGAAGCTCGGCGCGACCTCCGTCGTTATCTTCACACCTTTTTTCGCGCGTCTTATTCGCCGCCCCAACCAACCGGCTGGAGGCTGGAGCTCGGCTAGGCTGGACTTGGTTGGGCCCGGCGGCGCTGTGCGTATGGTAGAGATCGACAGACCTGTTCGTCCAGCCACGCCCTGCTCGCAAATTTGTAATTAATATTTTATCTCTTTCAATTTCTCACTTTATTTTCATTTATTTATTTTTTCGGTGGAATCAGTTGGACCCCGCGGCGTGTGTGTGTGTGGATCGCGTGCCATCATATTTGGGCCAGGTTCCAGAACACGTCTGGTCTGACGCGCGCACCTGTCGCTTTCGTTCTTATTTTTCTCCCCGCGCCGTTTGTACACGCGCGCGCGACAGGTTAAGCGCTGCTTTGGCGTGCGATTTTTGAACCCTCTCATAGAAACGACACATGTGTCTGTCCTGCGTGCGGTCCGCTGCGTGTGGGATCGAAAAGGATTAGCAAAAGGGAGGAGGCTTGGGGGGATGTCTCTGCCACTGACCCCGACTTGATTTCAAGTTTGTGGAAGGGCGTCTGCTTTAGGCATAATCCCCTTTTACTTCCCCTCTGCTCTTCCTTATTTTTTTACTGTTTGTCCTTGCCATTTTATGAAACCCGAGCGGTTGGGTTTAATGTCAGGTGAGATGCAGAAGCTTGGCCAGGACAGAGAGTCTGTTTGCTGACGTCAGAATGGGCCTTCCCCGACCCGGTCTCGGTCCCTTTTATTCGGCAGAACGGCGGCGGCAGCAGCGGGGTTGCAGACTCGACGTAACATTTGTCCCCTCTTGTGTTTTGCAGATCTGGCCCGCCTCTCCACCTCGCCGTTCCCCGGCGAACCCTCCGGCCCCGGCAGGGGGTCCTGGCCCGCGGGCCACGCCGAGACGGTCTACATGTCGTCCATGGAGGACGACGAGGACGGCTGTCCGGGCGTCGGGTCGTGCGCGGCGCGGGCCCGGCGCTGCTGCACCCGCAAGATGCTCGTCAAGAGGGTGCCCATCCTGGGCTGGCTGCCCCGCTACAACGGCACGGCCGCCGTCGCGGACCTGGTGGCCGGCGTCACTGTCGGGCTCACCGTCATCCCCCAAGCCATCGCCTACGCCAATGTGGCCGGCCTCCCTCCCCAGGTGAGTCCCCGCTACCCCGGCGCGCCACACCATGTGACCTGACCGGGCCTGAGTCCTTGTCTACATATCCGTTTTTCTTTTGTTCCTCCTCAGTACGGCCTCTACTCGTCGTTCATGGCGTGCTTCGTGTACGCCGTCTTTGGCTCGTGCAAGGACTCGCCCGTCGGGCCGACGGCCATCGCCGCCATCCTGACCCGGGAGAACCTCCACGACCTGCCGCCCGAGGTGGCCGTCGTGCTGTGCTTCTTGTCGGGCTGCGTGGAGCTGCTCATGGGCGTGCTGCAACTCGGTGAGTAGAGAGAGGGAAGTCCTAAGTCCTGCGGCCACCACAGCCGCCGCGCTCCTACGGCAAGTTCGCCCGCTAACGCCGCACCTCTGTCTCGTCGCAGGCTTCCTCATCGACTTCATCTCGGGCCCCGTCTCGGTGGGCTTCACGTCGGCGGCCGCCATCATCATCGCCACGACGCAGATCAAGGACATCCTGGGCCTGACGTTCCCGGGCTCCAAGTTCCTGCAGGTGTGGGAGAACCTGTTCGCGCACATCCACGAGACCAAGCTGTGGGACGCGGTGCTGGGCTTCGTGTGCATGGCCGTTCTTCTCATCCTCAGGGTAGGTGTTAGGTGGCGCAGGCGCACCGGCGCCCAAAGAAAACTTTGTCGAATGTCCCTATTTGTGTCGTTGAACCACATGCCTACCCTTCTTCCCGCTCGACCTGCTTCGTGGTGTGGCTCTCTTAGCTGTGTCTGACAGTGGCCTCCTCCGTACTTCTGCTTGCAGAAAGTGAAGGACATCCCCGTGGGGCCGACCGACTCCAAGGAGAAGTCCAGCCTCCAGAAGGCGGCCGCCCAGTTTCTGTGGCTGGTGTCGACGGCGCGCAACATCCTGGTGGTGGTGGCGTGCGGGGTGGCCGCCGCCCTGCTCGACAACCATGGCCTGCACCCCTTCATCCTGACGGGCACGGTCAAGCCCGGCCTGCCCGACCTGCAGCCGCCGCCCTTCTCTGTGCAGTCGGGTAACCAGACGCTCAGCTTCCTGGACATGGCGTCCGGCCTGGGCTCGGCCGTGCTGGTGGTGCCGCTGCTGTCCATCCTGGAGAACATCTCCCTCGCCAAGGTCTTCTGTGAGTAGTACGATCAGGGCGGCTAGGGGTTTTAATTTTCCGGAAAATTATCTTTGCGAAAATTTTCTGGAATATTTTTTCGTAAAAATCTCAATTTTTTCTTAAGGAGCTTAATTTTTTTTCAAAATTTTCCCCATTTTACTGGAAAAGTTTCATATTTTCCGGAAAAATTTCTCACTTTAAAATCATGTTTCCGACGACGGCATTCTGACGAACTCTGCGCTCTGCAGCGGACGGCACTCCGATCGACGCCACCCAGGAGATGTTCGCCCTGGGGCTGTGCAACATCGCGTCCTCGTTCGTCAGCTCCATGCCCGTGTCCGGGGCGCTCTCGCGCGGCGCCGTCAACAACGCGAGCGGCGTGGCCACGACGTTCGGCGGCATCTACACGGGCGTGCTCGTCATCCTGTCGCTGCACTTCTTCACGCCCTACTTCTACTACATCCCCAAGGCGTCGCTCGCCGCCGTCATCATCGCGGCAGTCGTGTTCATGGTCGAGTTCCACGTCGTCAAGCCCATCTGGCGGACGAAAAGTAAGTGGACGACGTCGTGGTTTGCACCGAGGGGTCCTGAACTTCAAATAACAGCGTACACTAATTTCTATGTTTTTTTCTTCAATTTTTTAAGTTATATTTTTT